CCTTCCATTTGCTATTAGCAGGTAGAAAAGGAACAGCTTTGAATGACGTCCTGTAAGGTTACCTATCAATTACTGCAGCAGTCAGAAACTAATGCTGCGGACTTCAAGCTTGTAATTTTGAGATTTCTCTCACAGAAATAAAAACTGAAACCTGCACCAAGATAGGAAAGTGGGACAGATACTTTCTTAGGTTTGTGCTTCTTTCGGCTACAATTTTCTCCGTTATATTTTCTTTTCTGAGCTAAGAGTATAGTGTGCTACATTGCCAGTCATGTAGAGGGGTGACTGGGAACATTTACAATACAGGGAAAAGCTTATTAATTAATTTAATTATCTGTAAAGCACAAACTGAATTTGCAACTTTTTCTCTCAAATTTTTGAGTTAGAAGAAATCACTCAGGTGGAGTAGAATTTGGTGTTCAATGTCCCAAGCAAGATTAAAAAAAAAAAAAAATCATATAGGTAAAGAAAATGAACTTGGGAATGTACAACACACTTAAGCTGGTTAGAAGTGAAAGGCCGTACAAAGTTGCTAATGGAGGTGGAATCTGGAAAATCTCTTCCCAAGAAAGGACTATAAAGGAAAACTTCTAAACAGGAAGCAATTTTCAAGGTGTCTTTCAAAAGTGTATTATTTCCTCTTCTCCTTGTTAGTCTGTTTTATACATTCCCTCATACAGAAACAGAGGATTAGCCCGCCAGGCCAGGCTGCCATCTGGAGCTGGGCAAGAAGCCGGGATTGCTTAAAATGAGGTTCAAAGACGAGGAAAAAGGTCCATGAGGCTTCTTTCCAGCCTCTCCTCTCCAGAGAAGGTCCACCCACAGGATTTCCAAGCTCTCCAGCAGCATCTCTCCAACAGACAACAGCCTGCCCAGTGTCCTTCATGGCTGCTTTTCCCTTTTCGCAGAAGGAGCTTTTGCACTGTCCTTAACGGCATCCAAACCAGCACCTCTCAGAGCTGCCCGCCCCTGCGGCAAATCAAGAGCCAGGGCTCACAAACAACAGGAGGTGGTCAAGAAACTGGAATAGGTCCTGGAGGAGACCCAGGAATCTTCTCATACTACACTTCCACTGTGACCTCTTATAGGGCAACTAGATGCCTACATCTCCAGCACTGACAGTTGAGTGAAAAGCGAAGACAGATTTGGCCAGGTCTAAAAATCTTACAGAAGATGTCCTGACTTCGAAGGAGAAAGATTAATAATTAGGAAGTGGTATGCCCAAGAAGTCCTCTGATGCCTTGCTATTTGCAAATATTACGTCAGTGTTAAGAAGAATAGATTCAATTACTGTTAAAAAGGTGTGGGTGGGTGTTTATATATACATACACATATACACACACGTGTATGTATATTTGTATGTATGAACATGTCTGGCTCCATGGATGGATAAGAAAATGCCACTAAAACCCTGATTCTCCTTTATCTCTTCCTTCCACATGGTCATCACTTCCCCATGCACTGCCTTTCACCTCCCTCTGCTATAGTCGTTTCTCACCTGGATTGTTATAACTGTCTTCATGCCTGGTCCCCTTCCTCCAGTGCTCCACCCTTCTAGCCTCGCCTCCTCCATTCAGCCCTCTCGATCCAACCTGTGCTGTTTTGTGCATTGCATTCCTCAGCTCCTGCCACAATTCCCTTTCGTACATCTCTCTCCTGACACCTGAGCACTTTTTCTCTTGTTTGATAGAGCCAGCTGTGAAGATGACAGCCATTAACCTGATGAATTTCAACAAGGGCAAGTGCAGGGTCCTGCACCTGGGGAGGAACAACCCCATGCATCAGTACAGGCTTGGGGCGGACCTGCTGGAGAGCAGCTCTGTGGAGAGGGACCTGGGTGTCCTGGTAGATGACAGGTTGACCATGAGCCAGCAGTGTGCCATGGCTGTCAAGAAGGCCAATGATATCCTGGGGTGCATTAAGAAGAGTGTGGCCAGCAGGTTGAGGGAGGTTCTCCTTCCCCTCTACTCTGCCCTTGTGAGGCCCCACCTGGAGTGCTGTGTCCAGTTCTGGGCTCCTCAGTTCAAGAAAGATGAAGAGCTACTGGAGAGAGTCCAGAGGAGGGCTACGAAGATGATGAGGGGAATGGAGCATCTCTCCTATGAGGAAAGGCTGAGGGAGCTGGGCTTGTTTAGCCTGAAGAAGAGAAGGCTGAGAGGGGACCTTATAAATGCCTATAAATATCTGAAGGGTGGGTGTCAAAAGGATGGGGCCAGACTCTTTGCAGTGGTGCCCAGCGACAGGACAAGGGGCAACGGGCACAAACTGAAGCACAGGAAGTTCCATCTGAACATGAAGAAGAACTTCTTCACTCTGAGGGCGACAGAGCACTGGAACAGGTTGCCCAGAGAGGTTGTGCATTCTCCTTCTCTGGAGATATTCAAGATCCACCTGCACAAGGTCCTGTGCAGCCCATTCTAGGTGACCCTGCTTTGGCAGGGGGGTTGGACTAGATGATCTGCAGAGGTCCCTTCCAACCCCTAACATTCTGTGATTCTGTGATTGCCCCAACCAGCTGCTAGGATCACAGCTGGTGTCCAAAGTGGATGTTGAGTACAGTAAGTTGCTCCGCTCATAGCTGTGGTGCCTGCAGGGTAGCCTGGTCTCCGGGACCGGCACAGCAGGTGGCTCCGGGGCCCCGACGCCCTGTCAGACCTCCTTGGTACCAGTCGGGCTGGGTACGTCCCCCCACCCGTGCCCTGAGCAATGCCTCACCCCACTCCCTCCACGCTCCCTTTCCTGTAAGGCAGGTAAGTGCGAGGGAGGGAGGGTGCAAAATAGAGGACAAAGAATTTTGATGATTGCTTCCACTTTGGGGGATTTTTTTCCTCTTTTTAATTGGCAAAACTGTTGAATTTCCAGAATAACTTATTTCCTCTTTGATATCCACATTCCTCCTTGCTTTATCAAACTGCTTTGTCTTGTACCTCCCAGCTCCTCTTTCTTGTCCCCCATGGTGTTTTCCTGCTGCTTTAAGTGAACCACCGTTTTGATTCTTCCATTTAGTTGACTATGCTGAGGAAAGTGAGTCCAGTCTGAAATAATATTGCTGAGAAATCTGGATTGTCTGCTAAATGAATATAGTGTTTTACCTTTTGGGTTTAATATTGCTTTACTAGGTGGTAACTTCTTTCCTTAAACATTTATTTTCTCATTTACCTTTTTCAGTCCACTACTTGGATAATTTTATAATATCTATGTCTAAACATAAATGCTATGCTAAAAGCTACTGAACCAGGGAAAAGAAGAAATGAAGCAAACAGAAACAAAACCTCAAGGGTAATTCTGTACTAACACAGTGCCAGGCTTCAGTGTAGACCAAAGATCTGTAGAGTTGTATGAAATATAAGAGCTTAAAAAAAGCAAAAACAGAAAAAGGAGGGGAGAGGAGGGGAGGGGAGGGGAGAGGAGAGGAGAGGAGAGGAGAGGAGAGGAGAGGAGAGGAGTAAGGCAAGGCAAGGAAAGGCAAGGCAAGGAAATTCAAGGCAAGGCAAGGCAAGGAAAGGCAAGGCAAGGAAATTCAAGGCAAGGCAAGGCAAGGAAAGGCAAGGCAAGGAAAGGCAAGGAAAGGAAAGGAAAGGAAAGGAAAGGAAAGGAAAGGAAAGGAAAGGAAAGGAAAGGAAAGGAAAGGAAAGGAAAGGAAAGGAAAGGAAAGGAAAGGAAAGGAAAGGGAAAGGCATCAGAAAGCAGTAGAGTCCAGTAGTTGAAATGTGGCAAGCACTGATATTTTTAAGGCCAGATTTGACATACCTCAGACTGGTGGGTGGGAGTTATTGGTTTATTATAACAAATTTTTAAAAAATTACTGGAGGTGGCAACGACTCTTTGTACATTGGTACCCCTCAGCAGACACAGAAAAAGTGGACAGTGTAAGGGACATCAGTTTCAGAGCCCTTTTCTATCACTGAGCAGGTGCAAAGGCAGAATAATCTCCCAGCAGGACTACTTACAACTAGGCAGAGCATATAGCTGTGCCGACAAAGAGGCCAAAAATCAAACTGGGATCCCCCAGCCCAGAATGTGCCTCTTAGGATGACAAGAGAAGCAAGACAAAGTGATGAGGGGGCTGCTGTTAGGTAGTCCTTGAAATAAGATGATAAAGATAAGCATGAGAAAGTGCTCAGTCTTGTAGTGAGCAATCGGGTAAAACTTTCATTTTTTAAGCATACTCATGTGACAGTTCTCAGATTACAGCCCTTGAGGTGTACAGACAGGGGTTACCTGCCAATTAATTTGCTTGCATGGGGAAATTCCCCCCTGCGCCATGAATCTACGTGATCTGCATTTGTGCTGCCCCAATGCTGTCGAGGAGGAGGTTGCTGATCACCATCGCTATAGAGAGGCAGGTGTTACTTCACTGCTTTCATGGAAGTTGTTGGTCTGAAGAGAATATACTGTCGTGATCTAGCTCTGGCATCCAGGGCTGCAGGAAAGCATCCCCTAGAACTAGTCATTGCAATGTCAGAGAAAGGTGTGATGAGAAGATGAAATTCACAATTAAAATTAAGCTATAAAGAACCCCTCAAAAATCAGGGCCAAATTACAACACCCTAACCAGGAATAGCCTGCGCCTATGCTGCTGACATCCTCTACCTGCCTCACAGTCAACACAGAGCCACCTCTGAAACAAGGTATAGTTCAGTTTGAGTAGGAATTTCTGGAGCCCTAAGGAAATACCACCAGAGGAGCTAAGCAGCAGCACCGATTTCAAAGTCTGTGTAGCAGGAGTCATTTTTAAGTAGCATGATTAGACTAATTAAGTTCTGTTTAAGTTTTAATTTGCATTTTAAGGATTTGATTACCCACCAGTAAGAAAAGAGACTGATTCTCTCATGTATTTGATGACAGTATGTGACACAATCTGCACTCTCAGGTTTACAAATAAACAAAAATAACATATGTAAATTAAACGATGTTTTATTCCATATCATTGCTATCAACAGCAGGTAACTAACAATGCTGATTACTATTACTAATAATAACATTATCTCTTACTAATGGTTCCATTCTTAGAAAATTTATTTCATAAATCCCTGCTGTACCATTCCAAATTCTGTGACCAAGAGACATAATCCATTTTTAAATGACATTCAATTACCCCTTTTTTCATTAAATTAAGTTTAAGCTGCAAGCATATGAGTACTGTGCATCAGAAAAAAGATACCTAGAACTCACCAAAAAAAAATATCCACAGCAGTTTCTGGGGGGTTTTCCCACAGGGTTTCTTTATCATAATACGTTGCTGTGTATATATTTCCATTAAAACATAAATTGTATAAATCAGATAATATAAATTGAAATATTGCTAGAAGATCATGTAAATTTGCCTTTTGTCTACTCACTCTGTTTTTGGAACTTCTTTTCTAAGCCAGTAGAAATCAGATTGGGCTGCGTATTTGCGAGTTTGCAACACATTGCCAAAATAGTCACTTTCTGTAAACTTCAGCTGTATAGATAAAGCACAGAGGTTTTTAAAGCATGTCCAAGGAAACAAAAGTTGACATAAAACAATCAGAACTTTTATTTTAAATAAGTTAATCCCCTAATTTTTTAGCCATTATCAAGGCAACTAAAATTTTCATACTTCGTAGGAAGAATAAATATTTTTTGAGCTTAGTTAAAAAACTGTAGCTGAACTGATCTACACAAGGGACTGGGACACTGGAAAAGCTCTTCCCTGTGCAGAGAGGAGCTGAGGAAATCAGAAGTACCCAGCGATGAACTGCAGACTGCACGTTTCTAAGGCTAATATTAAGACAGTCTCTTTGCCAGAAGTAAATAGGTCTACTTCTATATCTTAAAGTACATTTTAAAACCACTTTCAAAAATGTAACAAAGCCCCCTTTTTCAGTTTGTTTTGCATTTTCTTACAAATACTTCATACTCTGTGCCCTCTGAGGGTTCTGCCACTGCTTTCTTACTGTTTCTCACATTAAACGTTTACAGATGTAGTGCTCCATGCTTGCATAAGCCTCCAAATCTAATAGCATTTCCTCCCCCTCAACTAACCACACAAGAAAAAAGGATGTTAATAGTTTAAAAATCCAGCTGATATCCCTGTCACCAGTTTCATGCAGTTCTAGGACTTGTGAGGAAGTTGTACTTCAGATGTAGGTTATGGTTTTGCAACTGTGATTAACAAGTGTTTTTCGCTAGACATTACCACTTAACTGGGCAAAGAATTCCATATGCTAAGTGATAAAGTTGGTCACATCTTCTGTCTCATTACACTGTCTTCACAGCACGATCTCACCCTACTCTTTCCAGGAACAAGGACTAGGCTGGTAGAGTTGGTTCTTCAAAGTTTTCTCAATAAATTATGCCTCTGTTTAGTGTGTGTTCATATTCTCTGGCAACGATGACTATCACTCCTGTATTTTGTTGGTTCAGGATTGAATTTGTAATTCTACTTTGCCTGTGACTTTCAGTAATACAATTCATCATATGCATCCCACAGTTACTCCTTTGGAAAATAGTAAAATATATTATTCTTTATCATCTGCCTTCCTGCCTTAGTCAGGCTAAACAGATACCGGGTCAGGAAGGAGTCCCCCCGCAGTATCCTAGTCCAGCAGCTAGCACAGTAGGCCTATACATTATTTAGGACCTCTAGGCATGATTATAAGCAACAATCATAAATGAAATTCATAGCCTGGAGAGATGAGGAGAGCCTATACAGGACGTCACAAATTGTGATATTCCAAGGAAAAACGCATTAGAATTTTTGAAGACCATTACTTTGAGGAGAACTGCTTTTGTTTTGTTTCATTTTTATGAATAAATGCAAAATTTATGACAGTGCATGTTTAACCTTTAAAATGTTTAATAACAGGAAGGTTCTTTGCACCCAGGCACATTTTACTCCCAGCAGACCTCATGGTCATCTCGCTTAGACACACCAGCATTGACAATTTAGACAAGAGAGCTAGCATACTTAATTCAACGTCTAAAAATAACCAGGCCAGCAGAACTCCAGATGCGTGCCAAACAAAAGAGGAGCTTTGATTTTAGACAGCAGCGAAATAGAGCAAAGAATGGCTGCAATATGTAAAAGAGGAAAGCTGCAAGTCTGACACTTACTGTTTTGATGTCTTCATTAATATATGTGTCATTCATTATAAACTTAGGGTAACCCACTTTTGCCATAACTGCTTTTGCCTTTGAAAAAGAGAGGGAAAAAAAAAAGTGTTGGCAGATATAACCATTTGTCAGCATATGCCTTTTTTTCCCCCCATTCTATTTCCAATTCGTATTATGATGCCTCCTTGAAAGCAAACTAATGTAGCTTCAAACCAACTTGCCGACAAGGTAAAGTTGGTGCCGCAAATGAGCTTCTCATCACAACATGGAGGGTCCAGGTTCTGTTGTCAGATAATCACAGCGGGTCTGTTGTCACCTGCAGAGCTTTTGCAGGCTTACAGCAATGTGTTTGAGTGCAAAATCTTAACAGCTGATTTTCCCTACTGTTTTTTGTGTTAATCAGATGGTCAAATGCCTGTTTTTACAACATTTTCCAAAAGACAACAGGAAATGGCCCGTTTCGCTATGGCGCAGTAGCTGGTACTCATCCAACTGATAAAGCAGATTTGATACACAGATACGGATGAACCTGGGTCCAAGCAAGTGCAGACTGGCTTATTTCCACTGAGAGTCACTTCCATTTACACCTGAAGATGGGTGCACACTTTTCTGAAGGACACTGTACTTTCCTAAAACCACATGGCTAATGTTTGTTTCACTCTCCAGTTTCATCCCTCTACTTTGCAGTCTTTGCCCTTTCCCTAACGTCAGTAGAAGTGTTAAAATAAGACACTTCCCTATTCATTAACTTTGGGTTTTTTCCTTTTTCGGTCATGACTTGGTCCCAATGTTCATGCACAACCTGTGTAAAGACTCTGGTGTGAAGTGATAGTAGCTGTAGACGCATATTCCCACTTCATAAATCATAAACAGCCTTAGCAATATCCTCACAAAAACACCATCAGGCCACCCAGCCACCCAGCATCTCTGTGGGAACAACGCTTTTCCAGAAGAAAAGCAGAAGCATACAAAAGGCTAAGGCGACATACGAAGAAGGGATATATGACAGGTCCATGGAATAAATTTAAGCCACAATGGACTGTGATAGCACAAAGCCACTTTGTATGTTTTCGGGCTGCTGAATGGAATTTCTGCTTAAGTCTTTGGAATTCCCCCCATCCCTCAAAAAATGCTTTTCTGGGAATTTGTTCTTCAAACTCAAATGTCTAAATCCAGATGAATATTGCAAGATATGAAATGGAATAAATGGATTTGCCTTTAAAACAACTTCAGCCATATCAACTCTGTGTTTTATTCTCTGCGAGCAGAGCCTGCACCTCTCTGGGGACCGACTGACTTCTATTTCGCTTTTGCTGCACGGGGTGGCTGCTCAGGGGAAAATTCCCCTTCCTCCACAATAAAATCCTTGCCCCTTTCTTCCCCTCCACAGTGTCTCAATACAACAGGGCCTCCTATGACAGCAAGAATTAGCAACGTCTGTTCCACGACTATAAGAAGGAAGCTGATAGAGGACTGCCTCCGTTTTACCAAAATTATTTTGTCTCCTCTTTTATTTTTCAAGAAGAAAGTCCTCTTTCCTACTTCAAACTGCTTCAATTTCTCAATCTTATTTCCAACCTGAAGTCATAATCCTCTATTTGTGACATCACAATTAGTTGCAGTTGAGATAATTAAGATGTCACAAACAGAAGATTACGACTTCAGGTAGGAAATTAGCAGCAGGAGCAGATGAACTCTTAAGCAAGAAAGATCCCATTGTCATGCAAATATCCCTAGTGATAAAAAAAAACTATGGAAGACAAATGCTAAACAGGAAATATGAAATGAGACAAATTAACTCTCAACAGAATGTTTTCTTGTTTTTCCAGAAGGCAGAGCAGCCGTTCAAGATACTTTAAATGCCTGGCGGGAGAATAAAAACTGGGGACCAGGAACACAATTTATCGGCAAGTTTGTATATAATCAAAAGCATCTTTTTTTTTTTTCTTCCTGGTGGTCTTGTCAAGACCAGCTGACTGAACTTTGCAAGGAACTGGAAAATTTCCGGTTTCTATTTTAAAGGTTTCAGTGTGAGTTTTTATACAAGTCTTGAGAAAGCAAAGTACAAAACTCATCAGTTTTAGTTTTTACTGAGTCAGCTGCTTAAACAAGTTCTGTGAATCTCAAATGTTCTGCATGTGTTCCAGAGTACCCATCTGAATCAGTTACAGTAGGCTGTGCTGAATCTACTTAATTGAGCCCCTTAGCATTTTGATGAAACAGATTTAATTTAAAAGCTGAACTATACGATGAAGAGTAAACCTTTCAAAAACAATTTACAGTACAACTTGCAAAAATTCAACTGTGGCTTCTAAAGCAAAAGTAAGGATTAGCTGTGTCAGTGCACTGTCATTTCACCAATGATTTAGCCAGTACAACGTCGATAAAAATTGTTGATTGAATTTTGGAACATAAAAGAGCAGTTTTGGCTTTGAGTGATATTATATCCTTTAAAAATACTCAATTTCCAGACTGCCTTCCAAATAAAAGCAAATAAATTCATGCCTTGCTGGTTGTAAATGAAGAAGATTATGAAGCCAGCCTAGATCTGGTAGTGTTTCTTTGCTGGAAGAAGCAGAGATGGGCCCTGCCCTCAAACGCATGGTGCTAGTTGCATGGTTGTGACCACGGTATGTCTATCTCCACTTCACCACATGAACATTTGGGGGTCTTTGTAGAATATAGAATGACAGAATCATGGAATGATTTTGGCTGGAAGAGACATTTAAAGGTCATCTAGTCCAACCCCACTGCAATGAGCAGGGACACCTTCAACTCGATCAGGTTGCTCAGAGCCCTGTCCAGCCTGACCTTGAATGTTGCCAGGGATGGGGCATCTACCACCGCTCTGTGCAACCTGTTTCAGTGTTTCGCCACCCTCATTGAATATATCTGCTCATGTATCTACCACATCCATCTCAGTCCTTGCTTCCACAGCTGTCCACTGAGAGCAGCAGCTTGGAACTGCCAGGTTTTGGCCGTTTTAGACCTCATTCTTTAACCAAACATCTCCAAGAGTGAGGATGATTCCTCCAGGCTCCTTAATAGCAAGTCTGACAGAGGTTGACCTAAATATCATATATAATCTTATAATGTAATAAATAATCATATAAATCCTTTAAGTTAAATCCTTTAGTCTTTTCATGGCCCTGCTGCATTAGACAGGAAGATGGGAAGAGTTCTCCCAATCAGATTGCCTCAGGACAGCTGGGCTCACTCGTTAGGTCATACATATGCTTGCTTTGTGTATTTGAGAATTGATGTTGTGAGCTTACGATTTGCATGTAAGAGAGAAAAATGATCAGGCACTACAGAGATATTTTGTTATAAGGCCTACATAAAATCCTAGTAAATAACACTGTGTCTCAAAGAGTTTTTTGAAAGTAAACTCAAAAGGTAATGCTGCTCCTAGTACTTTGATACTTTATCAATAGCTAAAGCTGTCTCTATTTTGTAAGACAGGTGTATATATATACATAAGGCAAAAATGCTATTTTATTGCATTTGTTACTTATAAGTTTTTTACAACAATATGTGTGTTTCAGGAGTCTGAGCAAGACACACAGGCAACTCTATACTCTGTAATGACTGAACTCTATGGTAGACCTTACTACCACTAATTCCAGTGCCTTCTTAAATATTCCACCAGTCATGCAGGATAACAGATTCAGAAAAGTACACACTTTGTTACTACACCACCAAGTTAATTTGTTATTAGAAAACATAGGTACATGCTTAAACAACCTTACAAAGCTTCTGTACCATCTAAAATCACAAATAAACAACATCTTTTAGGATGCCTTCTTGAGAACATCTGGAGCACGAGCTGGTGAAGAGCCAACTGACACAAGGTTGTCATGTGCAATCCACTTCTCACTATATAGCTTCTCCCAGAAAAGGAATGTGGCTCAAATTGGTCCTAATGCTATGTATGATGCGGCCAAAAATTTAGAGGTGTGCCATACTCCCCTGAGACCCTGCCAAGCTAGTGGCTCGGGACCATCTGATGTCTGCTGTGTAGCACATACTGGTGTGGGAGGAACAGAGGAAAAAGTTTGCTTGATCTGCAGGACAAAGTGCATCTCTCTTTTTGAAGGGCTGTCTCCAACATCCTGACTCCAGCCTGGGGTGACGTCCAGGGCCATATGGCCCCTGCAGGCACTTAGGGCAGGCAGTGTGGGTGGCAAGCCAGAAGGCTGTGGCACACCAGTAAGTTCCCTGGTGCTGACAGTGAAGGATGTGTGGCCACTGGTGGAGAGGACTGTTTCCTATAGCCAAAGCAAAACCTGTGAGAGGACATAGGAAGCCCTCTGAAGTCCCTGGGAATCCCTCCAACCGGGACACCTCCTAGGGGCTTTGCATTAGGTCCAAGCCCATTCAGCTGAGCCCAGCACACAGCCCATTTTTTTCACACAACAGAAAAGTTAGAAAGAAGTGTCTTAAGAGCAGGTTTCTAAATTTTAATGTTGGAAGTCTCTTGCTTCTTTAGTTATCTTTACTGTTCACTTGACTACTATTTAATGGCAGTTCAAACACTGCTTATTCATTTAGCACCAGAAAGTGGAAAACTCTTCTATGACTGGCTTGCTCATTGATAATGAAGTTTGCATTTTCCCCTTGATAAGATTAAAAGTATGTTTAAGAGACCAGCCTTCCGGGAGGCATGCACACACATATGGGGAAAGCAAATGAAACGTGACAAATGTGCAGGAACTACCCATGTGGTAATTGCACATGAATCCACCGTAAACGCACCAAGCACAAATTTTTATGGTTTATAGGCTCATTTAATTCCTATCTCTAATTTGCATATTAAATAATAACATGTACAGGAAGAAAAGGAGTGACAGGGTATTTCCCCCAGATATTGTTAAGTACACAGACTACCTTAGGCTGTTGAGTACATTAAGAAAACTCATCTCTGCAGGCTTCCTCTCCTGTCACTGAAAGCAAGAGGCTCTTGGAGGGGGGATGCAGAGCAGCAGCATGCTTTAGAGTAAGACATGATAACTGTTTTCTGTCCCTGAAGCCAGAGAGAGCAGACTCTGAGGCAGAGGACTCAGAGTGGGACTGCTCCT